ATAAATCAGGACCCTGAAGACTGGCCACGATCAACTATCGATGCACCATCAATGGACATCCCAGAAGTGGCCAAAGAAGCGAAACCAGCAAAATCTCACCCAGTCGTACAGAGAATCAACGAGATTGCCGAGCTCCTCAACAGATACAGCATGATGGCAAAGCTGTTAGCAGTAACAGCGACAATCAACAGGGCCATCGACAGATTCAGAGAACTCAACGATGCGAGATTATTTTGGGTAAAAATAACACAACACCAGTACTTTGTTTCAGAACTCAGGGTACTTCTCAGAAATCAGCAGCTACCTAGAAATCACCAGTTAGCGAAACTCACCCCAACTCTGGACGAGGAGGGCATCATGAGACTTGGGGGACGCCTCAAGAACTCAGAACTCCATCCAGAACAGATCCACCCAATAATCTTGCCACGTCAGTCCAGATTCACCACACTCGTCATCGCAGAAGCTCACCAGAAGACCCTCCACGGAGGGACACAGCTCACCTTGGCCTACACTCGGCAACGCTATTGGATACTCGGTGGCAGGGGCACAGTTAGAGCCTACATCCTACGCTGTGCTATCTGCGCCAGACACCGAGCTAGACAGGCTCAGCAACAGATGGGTCAATTACCCGCAACCAGAGTCTCACCAGCAAGAGCATTTCTCCACACGGGGGTGGACTATGCAGGTCCTTTCGCCATCCTCAAGTGGAGACCCACGAATGCTCAACCGGGATCAGTGCACATCGCAGTGTTCGTGTGCTTCACCACGTCAGCAGTTCACCTAGAGCTCGTCAACAGGCAAACCACAGAAGCCTTCCTCGGAGCTTACAAGAGATTCACCGGAAGACGAGGTATTCCAGCAGTCATGTACAGTGACAACGCCACCACCTTCGTCGGAGCAGCAGATCAACTCGAAAGGCTCTATACTAGACTATCTACAAGTGGAAGACACGTCAGCAGAACATCGAGGTTGGTAACATGGTGCTGATGGTCGACGATAACCTTCCACCAGCCCAGTGGCCAATCGCCAGAGTCATCGCGACTAGACCAGGAGCAGATGGGCTCACCAGAGTAGCCACAGTCAGAACGAGCAAAGCAGAAGTCGGCAGACATCAAGATGGGTCGCCTAATCTCCAGAACATCACAGCAGCCCACTCGGTGTTTAACAGACCAATCACCAAGCTCTGTCTGCTTCCTACAGACCCACCTACACCAGAACAACCTCCAGAAGAAGATCACCCAGATGATGAAGACGATCAACAGCAAGGGGACATCCAGGAACTGCAGGACTGAGAGTTAAGTATCATCTTCCATATGTTTTTTAATTTGGCAAGTGATACGTCTCTCACCCTGTTTTTCTCCCCTTAGCAAGCATCAGTAGAAACCAGATCCAGTAATTCAACAACCTGATGTTGAATGCCCCCGGGGTATTTGAAACGCAGTTAAAATTCAGTACATCAAAGGTTGACCACAGATCGGCCACTTACGAAAATCTTCGGGAAATCTCGGGTCAACGGTCAGGCCTAGTCAATCACCGAATCTCAGAGTTAGTCAGTCGTAGAGAGTATAGCAAATGAGTTGAGCGAGCAGTATATCGTTTTTCTAAAGCTACTTTCGGTTGTTCGAACAGCGTCACTACATCACCCGTTCGAGACATTTTGTTTTCTCAGTACATCTTCTATTTAAATTCTCAGTACAGTCTCCTATTATCTCTCTATATATAAATAAAAAAATAAGGCGAAAAAATCAGGGGACACTCAAGTTCAGGGGACGCTTAAATTCAGGGGACGCTCAAATTCAGGGGACGCTGGGTGCCTATACGAGGAGGTGCGTGTATTTATAAGAGGTGTCTATATGAGGGGGTGGTCATAAAGGGGATATCGATATTTATGGAGGATTACTATATTAGGGGGTGCTCATATGGAAGATGTTTATGGGTACGGTTACACCGCTGCGGTCACACGGACGGGGGGGAGGAACGAGCGAAGCGAGTGGGGGGGCAAAGCCCCCCCCCGGGTTTGAAAAAATGAGGGCAAAATTTAAGACGATTCAGGCGACGCAAAAATTCAGGCGACGCCAAAATTCAGGCGATGCCTAAAGGTGGGGGGGGGGTAGTCAGGGGGTGGTCAGGGGGTGCCCAAGGTCGGGGGGGTTAGAAGGGAGGAGGGTGTCCCAGGATCAAACGCGGTGGGGGGGCTGACAGTTGGATTGGGGGGAGCGAGCGAAGGGGGCGAAGCCCCCCGGGGTTGGCGAGCGAAGCGAGCAGGGGGTGAAGCCCAAGGTCGGGGGGTTAGAAGGGAGGAGGGTGTCCCAGGGTCAAACGCGGTGGGGGGCTAACAGTTGGATTGGGGGAGAGCGAGCGAAGCGAGCAGGGGGCGAAGCCCCCTAGTTCAGTATATTATTGAGAAAATCTCCAGTGTTAAATTCAGAACAGTTTGAATTAATTTCAGTGACAATTAACAGAGTGTAAAAAGTGACGCTAAGGTGGTTCTATTCCACCGAATAAATCAGTATATTTTTTATAGACTCAGTGCGTTCGTTTTTCACCGGCATTTCCACTACCCCTTTCCCAATCCACCCTAAATTCAGTTTTCCCTCCAAACAATTGATTATTATAGGCGACATCGAGACGAGTACTTTGAAGAAAAAAAAATTAAATCGCTTGAATAGTTTTCGAGATATTCAAGAAACTAGATTCAGATACAAACTTGAGTATCTCCCAAACTAATAATCCGATTGAGCCCATTTTCAATACCAAACATTCTAGTACAGAGAGAAAACTTTGTGCCAAATTTCAAGTTAATATATCAATTTTTGCGAACGTGAGAGTGCTCACAAGCATTTTTAACAAAAAACAGGAAAATTGAAATATCTCGAAAACTTTGAATGAACCGGTATATATATTTTGATTGATCATTATAGGTGACATCGAGACGAGTATTTTGAAAAAAAAAATGAAATCGGTTGGATGGTTTTCGAGATATTTTCGAAAAACCATTTAGAAACAAATGGCATTTTCTCGAAAACGGCTGGATCGATTGAGCTGAAATTTGGCCCAGAGTTGGTTGTCATTAATACCTATAATTTGACAAAATTTCAGATTTTTCTGAATCACTTTAGTCGGTTAATTCTCCAATTTTCTAAAAGTTGACCACCCGATGGACATCCGCACAGACACATGGGGTGGTCAAACTTCGTTTTTTGACATTTCAGACTGCATCGTTTCCAAGCAAAATTAGAAAACCGGAAAATAGAACGATTACATAGCTTCCATTCGGAAGCAAATATTTAACATTCCAAAGGTTGTTCAAAAAATTTTCAAACTACGTCCTGGTAAAACACAATGCACTCTCATCTAGTTTCTTGAGTGTATTCTGACCTACCACCCAAGTCTTTCCCACTCCAGGCAAATCTGTCAATTCTTCATCTTAATGAAAATCTGTCTTTCTCTCGACCTTGAGTATTTCGCAGAGACGACAAACGTTTTCTGCCATTCAACTTGAGAACAGTGTCAAAGGTGAGTCAAATCTGGGTTTCACGATAGCAGACAGGTTATAATCTTCTCGCACAGGCGATCCATAGCCTTTTTTCCTTTTTCCGTTTTGAAAGGCATCATTTTTGCGCAGCCAAGGTAGCTTTCTGTAGTATGTTGAGATTCTAGATATAACATTTCTATACTCTTCGTTACATTCAGAGAGTTTTATAGCTGCGAATCTCCATAAATACTAGCCTAACGGATTATATTGTCCTACAGCCATCTTGGAGTCGATACAGGTGATTCTCAACTTACATTACTAAGTATACAGCCACTCCAGCTGCTGTGAGAAAACGAGTAAGTCTCGAAAGGTTTAGAGGTACGATTTGTACATTTCTATAATTAGTCAAGTCAAATTGGCATGTAAGTGCAGGTTTAATTCACCGCATATGACAAAATATCCATTCGATAGTTAAAACTGTCCTGAATAACACATAAAAATGATCAATCATAGATCGGTGCAGAAAATATCTAAAAAAATTAATAATGATCAGGGTTCGTAGGCGAACGCCAAGAATCCACGTAGCTTCAATGAAATTCAATCAATTGTAGAGGAAAAATTACCAGCGTGTAGAGGAAATAAATCTCTACAGAATTGAGTTAGAAACCAATAGCGCACATTCACTAATTATGGCGTACTAAATTATTTAGTATTTTTAACCCCATATGTGGTAAAATGATCAGCTGATTCCATAAACCCCACCTCTTTCTGCGCGCACACTTGTCTCAAAGTGGCGCAATGCGCAGTAGATTTAAACTATAAAAAGAGTTTTAATTTGTGATCACGCTCCTCAAAATGGAAAAAATATCGATTTTTTTTCACGGTTATTATATTAAAAATTTTTTTTGCGTGAATTATATTAAAAATGTTAATAGTTGGCGATTTTTCTAAGATTCTTTTTATAGTATTATGATGACCCTGACAGTTTGCAGACACAAATCTTCAACAGAGCATATCTGATGAAGAAATTGCACAATGAGAAAATTTCAAATTTCAATTTGCCGGGTGTGGCGAAATATAATCTTGATGGTGGCTGAATATGTAATAAATAAATAAGGGGTTTATTTCTTAAAAATTCAACAATGGAAAACCATTGACGCTGAATAATTCACTCCGGAATTATTTTATTGGAAAAAAAACATGGTCGCGATTTTCATTTTACGAAATTTCGTGATTTTTGTCCTTTTTTTGGTCCTATCAGCTAACGTTAAATCTGCTGCAGAGTACTAAATCTTTGGCAAGTTCCATTATTCATCCAAATGATCCGATCGAAAAAAGAAAAAGCATCACGTTTGAAGAAATTATAAATCTTCTCGTGATATTTCTTATTTTTTGTAATAAATGTTTCATTAATGATATATCCAATGTTTTTCACGAGGGAAAACATCAACAGAGGATATCTACGAGAAAGATACATAGATTGGGACAAAAAACAACCAAACGTTGGATTACAATAAAAAATCAACGTGAATTTTTTTTCGATTTCTCTTCGATATTTCCATCAAAAATGATGGAGTTACAAAAATAAATACGATCAACATTTGATATCTTCTACAAAAATGATTATATTCTTACAAAATCGACATTTATACATGTTATTTTTGAAAAATTTCCCGTGAGCTTCTTCTTTTTAGGGCTGCGCATAAGACAGGACTTTCGCCAGTCTCGTCTCGGTCTCGACAAATATCCAAATTTCCAGTATCGTCTCGGTCTGGGTTAAGAGCATATCGTCTTGGTCTCGTGAGTGTAAAACGTAGAAAATAGGAGAAATAATTTTTCTTCAAAAAGTCACAAAGAGATGGTCAAACTTCATCAAAGGTCACAGGAGGATGTTAAAATTTCACGGGGGTCACGAGAATAACATGGGGCTGGTCAAATTTCACGAGGGTCAAACATCACGAGAGTCTTTAGAGGATGATTAAATTTTCCGAGGGTCAAACATCACGAGGATCGCAACGGGATGGTCAAACATCACGAGGGTCACGTAGGTCACAAGGTAGAGAAAATCGAAGAGTTTTATCCACAACCAAGAAAGTTCCTCAAATTTCCAGTAAAACCATACAGTTTTCTCGAATTTTCCGGTTTGGAAAAACTGGACAGTTTTCTTGACGTTTTAGAAAATTGAAAGATTGTTTTGACTCTCCTGGAGTGCAATCATCCCCTAGTGACCCTCGTGATGTTTGGCCTCGATAAATTTGAGTACCCTTTTGTGACCCGCGTAACCCTCATGATCCTTGTGAAATTTGACCATCCCCTTGTGACCCTCGTGAAATTTGACTATCCCCTCGTGACTCTTGTGATGTTTAAGTCTTGCAAAATTTGACTATTCCCTTGTGACCCTTGTAATCGTCCCGATTTTTTACCCTTATAAAATGTGACCCTTCCCTCATGATCTTCGTGATACTTGATCCTCGTGAAATTTAACCATCACCTTGTGATCGTCGTAATCCCC